TGGCCCAAAGCCTTGGGGGGGGGGTGGGCTGGAGGGTCAAAGGTCTCTGGATTTGGACAGGTATGCATTTTTTGGCGCGAGCTCATATGCTACAGTGCGACTTTGTCGCAGTAGGTTTGTTTTTATCGCTGTTAGTTCCAGGAGATCTTGTCGTGATAGGCTTTTTTCTTGTCGCGATTAGGTCGTTCCAGGGCTTTTCGTCGTCACAGCCCTCCTCAGAGCATATGTGCCGCCTAGGTCAAGGGCTTCAAGCAGAACGTCTGTGGCTTTGACATCCTGCGCACTGCTGATGCTGGCTCTGTAGTCTGCGATGTTAATGGATTTTCGTTCGTCAAGGGCAACCAGAGATATTTTGACGACGCGGCAGCGATCCTGACGGAGCTGCTCACGAAAGCTAATGACACAAACGGCCATCCACCCGTCAAGGCCCACCAGCAAAGCTGGCTTAAAGGCCTCGGGAATTTGTGCAGCTGCTTCTGCCAATGACATTCTTGCCAGAAATGAAAAAGGGTCCATGGTAGATGTCGCTAACCTCCGCTTTTCCCATCCCTCAATGTGGAAGTGGCTGGCTCTGATTGCATCAGGACACTGCAGCTCTGCAGCTCTGGTGAATTCTCGCCTCCTTGCTTCGATTGCGAGCCTTACAAAATCTCAGGCCACACCTTTGTGAAACCAGACGGAAGCCTTGAGCTGTTTTTCTTGATTCCACTCAGGGAGGAGGGCCCCTGTGTAGGCAACAACAAGAATGCTGCTGCACTTGAAGAAGCATTTCCATGTTGAGCAAGCAGGCAAGCGTCATTGTGCCACAGCATGACAGTTTTTCTTGTTTCATCAGCGTAGGCTGATGAGGACAAGGTACAGACATGCGCAGACAATGCTAGCCAGCAGAATCTGAGACCCTCACCTTCAGGCAGCCTGCTTGCGGATGGGCTACATGGTTGCAGCACGGCTCTGTTTGGGCCAAAAGAACGGCGGGTCTTTGCTTGGCTGTAATCCTTTTGCCAATGTATTGATTGATTATTTGATGATTGATTTGCAGCTCAGAGGGGCTCTGCACTGCTCAGTCGCTGCACACGCAGCTTGGCTCAGAAGACGATGCTTGCACACACGTTGGGCACGGTCAAGCCTGGTGTACGAGCAGAGGCTTAAGGTCAGTCAAACAAGCTTTGCCAGTACGCACAGACACTCATTATTGGAACCTTTCGTGTGGGTCTGCTGGAAGATGTTGCTTGGCCGGCCGTGAGGCCTGTGCGAAGGCTGGATGAGGGGTGTGGGAGACACAGAAGTCCTGGCAGAGCGACAGCGATTCTCATATTTGGTCAGGAGTCCCGATGTGTGAGATCGACGTTTTGCCGGGTCTGCCTGAGCTGTGCCGATGCACGGAGGTTGAGGCAGCCACATCCGGACGTTCATTCAAGCTGTTACAGTGTCTAAGAGAACTGGGATTCGATCGTGGCAGGAGCTCTTCAGCAGATTCGGCAAAGTGGGATTCTCGGAAAGTTCACTGCACCTGCAACAGGCATGAAATCCCTCCCCGCCATCCAAGGTAGACTATCTTTTCATTCCACCCCCGCAGCTTCGCCGGTCAGAGCCAGGCTTCATCAAGTCTGGATCTCTGCTGCTTCAAGTCTGCGATTTCCTTTCACTACTTCAATTGAGTAGTATTTTTTTTGGGGATACTATGGTACCCATTATAGAGTAAGATTATATCCTCCTTTTGGGGTATAGTTTTTTCTATAAGGAATATAATCTCACTAGGTTCAACCACCAAAAAAAGCACTACTCAATTCAGCGTGCCAGTGCTGTTCCTTGCACGCGTGGTGCAGTCAAGGTTTTGGAGCCATGAAGGAGCCACCGCCGCGTTCAAAGCGTCGAAGGAGGGCATGGTGCGCACCACAATTTTCTCGTTGCGTGCCTGCTGTGCGAGAGTGATGAATATCCATGGAGCATTACGAAACTTCGAATTCCTTTGCATATCGCTGCCTTAATGGGGCCTTTCCTGTTGGCTCAAGCTGATGGTTAGGACTAGTAGACGTGCCCGGCCTCACTTGTGTGCTTTGAGGCTTGCAGTTTGAGGCAGGTGGTGTGTTACATTCTGACCAAATCTTCGTACGCTGACCCACAGTTGTCATGTTCAGGATGAGTGAACCCAATGCGGCGCAGGGCCAGGATTTGCCAAAGAAGGCGAGCTTGAGATTCCTTGTGTGGCGGTACGCTCTTTCGCTGCAGGAGGGTGGCAAGGAAAACACTCCACCTTGCAAACGACGCAAAAGCGCGGTTTGATTGCATTTTGATTCCATTTTTGATCGAGTTGAATGCCAGATTTGCTCATGCTTGCTCAGCCCAGGGCGACAAAGTGAAGGGCCACTGCTTTGCACATTTGTGTTGCATCATCTCCGCTTCTCAACTTGATACACGCAAGTTTTAGGAACTGCCAGACTAGGTGAGAAGGGTATTGAGATGATCGTTAGCCCACGCGATCTGCAGCCACCGCCTCCGGAGGACACTTGCACTTCAGAGCACAAGGTGCATTCTGGCATGGGCTTGTGCTCAGTCCACCATAGTCTTCTGCTCTTACAAGTCTGTCTGGGAGGACATGGCCTTGGGCACGGAGGTGCCGTGGTTCTCGCTGAATGACCTTTCGAAAGCAATAGTGCGACTTTCTGCTCGTTTTCTTGGTGACGTTGCTGTGGTTTGGATACATTGACGAAGATCTAACCTGCACGATTTACTTTGTTCAGCTGACAGGACATTGACGTTGGCAAGCGTCTCGGGGCCGGGAAGTTCGGCTCAGTCTACGTTGCACGCTGCCGTCGAACAGGCTCCAAGTGCCTCATCTCCTGGTCGCCCATTTGCACGCGGTTTCGCGTTGGCGGGTTGCGGAATGCCTTGCAGGATTCATCTTTGCGCTGAAAGTGCTGGACAAGCGTCAGCTCATCAAGCACCGCGTCGAGCATCAGCTGAGGCAGGGTATGGGTCTTCTGCTTTCTGCACTAAGGCAGCTTTTGAACTTTCCACATTGGATGCAAGGCGAGAAATTGAGATCCAGTCGCACTGCCGACATATCAACATACTCAGACTCTACACATTCTTTCACGACGAGAGGCTTGTTTGCATTGTGAGGGACACTGGATTTTCGGAAAGACAAGTCATGCATGTAGCTGTACTTGCAGCACAGTAGCATTCAGTTCAGGAAGCGCGTGTATCTCTGCCTGGAGATGGCTCCTGGGGGTGAGCTGTATGGCTTGTTGCAAAGCCGTGGCACCTTCTCCGAGGCCGGGACTTGGAGAGTGCACCTGTCGAGGATCGCATTACATAGATGAGCTGGTGGAAACCATGCTACTTTGCCTGCAATGCGTGGGAGGCCAGATCGGCTTGGTACTTCAAGCAGATGGTCGAGGCATTGCTGATGGTGCTGTGCCTATTTGCCCTAGGTCGTCTTGGTTTGTACCGACAAGCTAGATCTTGGATCCAAGCTGATTCTCATGTCGCTTTGACACGCGTGAAACCCAAGTTAGGCAATGTCATCTCACATCGTCTAGGCTATCCAGTACTGCCATGCCAAGCACATCATCCACAGAGACATCAAGCCTGAGAACATTCTCATCGGCTTGAGGGACACCCTGAAGATTGCTGACTTTGGCTGGGCGGTACATGCGCCATCGTCGCGCCGTGATACCTTCTGCGGCACACTGGACTACCTTCCACCTGAGATGGTCATGAGCAAGAAGTATCATGGATCCTTGCTTGCCAGAACGCTATTGCTTAGCGAAGAAGTCATTCAGGTAGCTTTCTAAGAGAAGAGGACATGCCTCGCAGACATAAAGCCGCTACCATCAGAAACAGCCATCTGAAAGAAACTCTTGGAATCTCTTCGTGGCTCGCGCGGGCATGTTAGTTGATAGCAGTTGTAAGTAACAATTAAGTAACGACCTTCTCCCTTCCAACTATACCCACATGAGCGTACGCTGAAGCAGGGGGTCTCCAGGGTGACGCCCGAGGAGAGGAGGTAGCACTGGCCGTGGCGGTGGTAGTTGTAGGCGAAGGCGCAGTCGACGTTGTAGCGGTAGGCATTACTGCAGACGTAGTTGTCGTAGTTGTTGTGATCGTCCTCGTCCTCCTCCTCCTTCTCCTCCTCCTCGTAGTAGTAGTAGTAGT